GATAGAAGCAGGTTGGTTATTATGGGCAACTGCTCCATATTCTGCCTGCTTGTTTTGATACATTCTCCCACTGGCTTTTTATAAATATATAATGCAATATTGAAAATGTCCGTGTAAAATGTTTAGTGTAGTATATAACACTGAGAATACTTAAATAATACATGTGTTATGAAGTTCTAAATGTCAAAAAGAGAGACAACATATGAGGAAAGAGGGAAGGCTGTGAGGTATGACAATGTAATGAAAAGCAAAAGTGTTAAAGTGACACTAAACTCAGGAGGTAAATCTTAAAATGCATTCAAGTACCTTAACTATTAACAAAAATGCATCTTATTTGTGTATCACTCGGCTGTAGATCCTCAAATCATCTCTGAATTGGTGCTAACACTGTCCTTCCTTCTGGTGGGTGGCTACTTTTGTTCCCCCATGGTCCCTGGATGTGTTGTATAGTAGCCGCTCCAAGCTCACTCCCGTGATGGACTATAATTTCAATATATAAAATAATAAACTAAACATCAGATTGTAGTCCATCACAGGAGCGAGCTTGGATCGGTGGCTACTTTACAACACACATAGGGACCATGGGGAATAAAAGTAGGAGAGTGTCAGCACCAATTCCGGGATGATTTGAGGATCTGCAGCTGAGTGATAAACAAATAATATACATTTTTGTTCATAGTTAAGATACTTGAATGCATTTTTAAGATTTACCTCCTGAGTTTAGTGTCCCTTTAATACACACTTATTACCTGCTGTGTACTGGAATGTCAGGTTGTTTGTTAAGGACATTGTTGACGGGTCTTCCTGCTTACTGTTACTTGAATCCAAGTGTGTATGTAAACTAGAATGGTCCTACATGCATAAAGGTAATGTTAAAATAGTGATTCTGCTGCTGTCAACACCTCGCCGTTGCTGAATTACCGAAATGCAGCAGGACTTTTCTGTACTGGTCATTGATTCCACTGTTGATGAAACACTGTTGAATTTTAATCACTAGCATGGAAAAAGTGAAAAGCAACACCTCAATGGATTGAGGCAGTAAGGAAGTAATGCCACATATAACATAATATCATATATAACATAATGAATGAGCCATACACACCACACATACAGTACATATACCCAGGGTCAGATTTCCCACAAGGCCACCGTGGCCTGGCCTCAGGGCGGAAAGGTGTAGAAGGGCAGCATGGCTGCAGGGGAGATAGTTTTTTTCTACATTTAGCCCTGCTTCGGGCAAGCAGAGCTAAATGTACAGCTGCTCATTTTGTACAATGATCTTGGCGATGTTGTCCAGATCACTTGTATGCAACCTGCAGGTCCCCCCCTGCCACCCCCACTCCATGGTTCGCCCCACCTCACCTGGCTGCCTCTGTCCCCGCTCTTCTGGGGCACCCGGAACCACAGCAATCACTTCTGGGGGACCCAGGACCACGGCAAACACTTCAGGATGAAATGCTGCATTCATCATGCTGCCTTTTCACAAGATTCCCCTGCCTTCAGAGCTCATACCTCCCCCAAAACATCAGTGAGCCACCACCATGCTTCACAGTGGGGATGGTATTCTTGTCGCCATAGGCCTTGATGACCCCTCTCCAAACATAGCGCTTATGGTTGTAACCATAAAGCTCTATTTTGGTCTCATCACGCCACATTACAGTGTGCCAGAAGCTGTGAGGCATGTCAAGGTGTTGTCAGGCATATTGCAACATGCCTTTTTGTGGCATTGGCGCAGTAAATGTTTCTTTCTGGCAACTTGACCATGCAGCTCATTTTTGTTCAGGTATCCCTGTATTGTGCTCCTTAAAACAACCATACTGTCTTTTTCCAGAGCAGCCTGTATTGCTCATGAGGTTACCTGTGAGTTTTTCTTTGTATCCCGAACAATTCTTCTGCAATCTTTCTTGGTCTACCTGACCCTGGCTTGGTATCAAGAGATCCCCGCATTTTCCACTTCTTAATAAGTGATTAAACAGTACTGACTGGCATTTTCAAGGCTTTAGATATATTTTGATATCCTTTTCCATCTTTATTAAGTTCCATTACCATGTTACGCAGGTCTTTTGACAGTTCTTTTCTGTTCCCCGTGTCTCAGTATCTAGTCGGCTCAGTGCATCCAGGTGAGAGCTAACACACTCATTGACTATTTCTACACAGACACTAACTGCAATTTAACAAGCTACAGATGTGGGAAATTAACCTTTGTGGGAAATTAACCTTTGTAATTTTAACCTGTGTGTGTGTCACCTTGTGTGCCTCTAACAAGGCTAACATTCCAGGACATGTAAACTTTTGATCAGGGCCATTTGGGTGATTTCTATTATCATTATGATTTAAAAAGAAGCCGAACAACTATGTGATAATAAATGGCTTCATACGATCACTATCCTTAAATAAAAGACACATTTTTGTCATAATCAGTCATATTTTCAATATCAATTCCAAAATCTCACGATTTCTGCCGGGGCATGCACACTTTTGAGCACACCTGAACCTCAATGAATGAGCCATATACACCATATAACTTAACCAGTTGCAGTCCGCCCGTAGTAGAAAAACGGACGGACGGCACTGTCGCATTCGCGGGTTGCCGTCGCCAGACGGCATTTTTTTTCTGCTCGCGCGCGCCCCCTAGCGGGCACGCACGGGCAGAAAAGACCCGTCCAATGCGAACACCCGGTACCGGGTGTTTCACATATAGGCGATCAGCGGGTAAGCCATATACATCATATACCTCAATGGATGAACCATATACACCAATGAATGAGCCATATACACCATATACACACATACCTCAATGACTGAGCCATATACATGGCCAACATTAGCAACTCCTTATAAGCACTTACAGCAACAGGTAGTTTTTTTCTTTTCTTTTGGAAATAAGCTTAAGGCCCCGTTCACATATAGCGACATACCTTTTGCAGCGGATCCGCACGGCCGGGATAGCGCGACTTTCGGGGCGACGTTCCAGCGACGGTAGCGCGACCTTCCCCGTCGGGCTCCATAGAAAAAAAGCAAAATCGCGCAAAATCCGCCGAAAAAAGGGTCCGGTAGAAGCGACTTGCGACCGCGACGATCGACGAGCGACGCGCGACATGGAGTTAAGACAGCTCCATTGAATAACATTGGCCGGCGACTTCTCGCGATATCGCGGCGGAAATCAGACCAGACATCGCTATATGTGAACGGGGCCTTATATCACATGAATAAAAACTGACAGTTGATGCCCCTAAGTCCCTGTGACTGTCACTGAATGTAAATGTGGAGAAACGTATAAATACAATCCTGTGAAATAAATATAGATGGAAGTCGTATAATGAACACCATCATGACTAGTGTTTCTATAGAGCTCCTTGAAATATTTATTGAGGGGTTGCAATAGATTGCAGTGGAGTCAGCCTTTGAGCACCCAGACAGCTCTTATAAATAAGACAATAGATTGTTGGTAGTAGAGTCCTGTGAACAATAAGCAGCACATGGCCAGGGGGCGCAGACTATCACTTGGATTGTTATTGTGTGTGCTCATACATGGTGAGCGGGGCGCTCGCAGCTCGCTGGACGGGAACTGTCATTTACCTTGTAGCGCCATCTAGTGGCCGCACAAGCAGAACACAGCTCCGCTTTCCATCAAGCAGTCATTGTCGGTGCTCTATAGGCTGGGAAGACAGGAGACTGAGCCGCTCTGCTTGTATGGTGCTCTGCAATCTCTACCAAGATCATTGCAGCCCCTGTAGTCTCGGATGGCTCATTCTTTGCGGGAGTCACATAGTTTGCTGCCTCCCGAAAATCTAAGCATCCATCACCCTCGTCTCCCCATGCACAGAAGTAAACCGTGTGACCACAGCGAGAATGGACTTTAGTTCTAAGTAGCAGGACATCAGAGATGGGCTCATATAGATAATAATCGGTTACTATGGTGACTCCATTAATAAGATCCGCAGGATCCACGCCCAGGAGCCAGAATAAATGGTTGTAATGTGGAGGTAAAGTGTGCTGTGCAATGCACAGGCATCCTGTGACAAGTAGACTGTCGGGCACAGGGGAGGGGGCGGGGCTACGGCGGCTCCCACACTCTCTGCTAGTGACATGGATTCAAAGACAGTGCCAGTAAGGATCCCCTCTAAACTGTGCTGGCTCCTGTCCTTCTCCTCCAGGCAGCAAGGGACCTGTGCCACTGGGTATCACTTCACCTGTGATAGAAAGCTACATTGAGGGGTCCCGCTTATCCTGGATAGAGCCGCTGATGCTGATGCTGCTGATGATGATGCTGCTGCTGTGTTAACTTGATGCTCTCGCTGTGGATTCTTTATACTTGTTGCTGTGGCTCTGTCCTGCTCCGCGGAGATTGCTTGTGAATTGCACTTGAATTGCACTTGACTTGCTGTGTGCGTGTGTGTGTGTGTGTGTGCTCACAATGATCTGTCAAGGCTTGATGCGAGTGGCCCCGTCCTCCATTCACACAGAGGTACGTGAAGACCCGCTTTGAATGCATTGGTACAGGTTTTGCTGCCAAGTCTTTGTGCAACTGGTTAAGCCATGCTAGCGTGTGTCAGGGATCACTACAGGCAAGGGATGGCAGCCAGGACTGTTCCGGGGAACTCAGCGATCCTGGGATTGTATTGAATGGAAGAGACACAGATGGATCTCCTATTCTAAAGGAGAAGGCATAGGCATGTGTCAAGTGCTTGCCACTGTCAGACTTAAGAGACAACAGATAGGTGACGGCAAACTGCAAGCAGACAGAGCAGATCTTTCACTGCTGCTGATATACGGGAGCTGAAAGAGGTGCAGCTGAACAGGCAACACATGCTATGCTTCATTATACATGCCTGTGATGAACACTGGCCATGCTACTGTTGGATACATGTGGCTACTGATGGGGAATTGGAACCTGGAGGCACATCTTTGACCATCTGGAAGATCTCTTTCCAAACAAAAACTTTTCATTTGCTAAGCTTAGCAATAAACTTCAAGAGAATTTTTAATCCCAGATAAAGGACTGCAAGGGACAAGAGCAAATATGGCTGCAGGGGTAGCAGCATGGCTGCCTTTTGCACGGGCTGCTGCTATTGGCTGGATGCCAGTGGCGTCGGCACCGATGCCCCCTGCGCCCAGAGGTGAGAGAAAGAGGTCTCAGGACACCTTGATTGTGCTAAACGTAAGCGGTTCCCGCTTTCAGACGTGGCGTAACACCCTGGAGCGTTACCCGGATACGCTGCTTGGCAGCACGGAACGAGATTTTTTCTTTAACCAGGACACTGGAGAATATTTCTTCGATAGAGACCCGGACATTTTCCGCAACATTCTCAACTTTTACCGCACAGGTCGCCTTCACTACCCGCGCAATGAGTGCATCGCGGCGTATGATGAAGAGCTGGCTTTCTTTGGCATTATCCCAGAAATTATTGGTGACTGTTGTTATGAGGAGTACAAAGACCGCCGAAGGGAGAATGCAGAAAGACTACTGGATGATGCTGATACGGAGAACGCATCAGAAGGACCACTGCCCGCCATGTCAATTCGCCAGCAGATGTGGCGCGCTTTTGAAAATCCACATACAAGTACAATGGCCTTGGTGTTTTACTATGTGACTGGTTTCTTCATTGCTGTCTCTGTCTTTGCCAATGTATTGGAGACGGTTCCATGTGGTATAATGCCAGGCTCCATGCGCGAGTTGCCGTGTGGTGAACGTTATGTTATGGCCTTCTTCTGTCTGGATACAGCTTGCGTCATGATATTTACCGTGGAATACCTGTTACGCTTGGCGGCTGCCCCCAGTCGCTACCGGTTCGTACGAAGTGTGATGAGTATTATTGATGTAGTAGCAATCATGCCATACTACATAGCCCTTGTGATGACAAACAACGAGGACGTAAGTGGTGCGTTTGTTACGCTAAGAGTGTTCCGTGTGTTTCGGATCTTTAAATTTTCCCGCCACTCACAGGGTCTACGGATCTTGGGCTATACCCTTAAGAGCTGTGCTTCAGAGCTGGGCTTTCTGCTATTCTCCCTCACTATGGCTATCATCATCTTTGCCACAGTAATGTTCTATGCTGAAAAGGGTTCTATGAACAGCAAATTCACTAGTATACCCGCTGCCTTCTGGTACACTATCGTCACCATGACAACATTGGGGTAAGTCTTTAAGAGGTGTGGATACTCTTAGGTATTTTGTCTTCTAAATCATGTCTTTGTGGCTTATTATATGTGGCTTTTCAAAAATAGGATACTATTGCTTCTTGCAAAATGTGCTTTGCTTGAAGTATTGTATTTCTTCGGCCTTATTCAATAATGCAAAAGCAAAATTCTAGGGGCAAATATGGCGCTAAGCCATAGCATCCAATCAGAAATCAGATTACTGGAGTTTGAGATGAGCAAGATGGATCTCTATTGGTTGCTATGGGTAATACACTTAGCTCTTTGCACTATTTAATAGCATGAGCCCAATAATGTGTGTTCTTTTATTAAGCAGCAAATGCAACAATATCTGTAAATCACTTATTTTTATTGTTATCTTGAGTCTTATTCTGTCTAGTAACCATAGACATGGAACATGCACAATAAATGACATAAGCCTTGCAGACAGTGTATTGGTTATCTGTACTATTATTAGGAAGTGGTGTTCTATAGCTTTATGGATTTTGTATGCTGTATGCTGTAACAGTGAATACAGGTCAGCCCTTGATTTATTCTTCCTTCTTATTACTCATGTTTGTAAAGAGTAACCAATGTTACGCTCATATTACCATACAAACAGCTCGATAATGTTTGATGTATAAAATTCATTCAGTGTATGGAAAAAGTACAAACGTCTCTATAATACATAGATTTGGTTATGTGAAAGTGAATGTTCTTTGATGCAGTATGTGCTGTTTAAAGCTGAAGTCCTAAATGGCTTTTTTACAGCAGCTTTCCTTCCGGAGAGTATTCACACGTAAAGTCAATGTTCATTTTGTTTTGGAAATGTGTTCACTGGGATTGATGCTGTACTGGACAGTCATTACAGAGCTCTCAAAGTGATCATTTAGTCTAGAGACAGAAGGAATCCAAGAGCCCATTCAGTCTCAGACAGTTAATATGAATTAGTTATGTGGGGGAAAAACACCTGATGGATGTCAATGAACCTTGCTTATGAAAGCGAGGAAAGAATTAACTCAGACAACCTGTTTGGTCCACAAGAAGCAGTAAGCTTCCTCCTTTCAGTCTCCCAAGGTGCACTGGGAGAAGGAGAGGGATAATCCAGTTACCATGGCCAATACAGACTACTTGAGACATTTCCTTTTACTTAAATAAAAGAGTAAGTGAGTAGAAATGGACACTCTTCATAATTATTTTTTTGCCAACTTTAGGGCACTTTTACCACTCATGTAACCTTATTGACTGCAAACCTAATATTCATCAAACATGCATGTCAGAATTGCAGTGGTCATATCTAACATAGATGCTGTTTGGCCAAAGTTATAGACACTAAATGATTACAGCTTAAGCTTTGTTTGTGCAGCTGATAATCAAAGCCTGTTCTAGATAAATGGCATCCCAGGATTATAGTGGCACCTAGCAATGGACCACCCCTGTTTTATTGGTTGAAGTGTGATGGCAGGAAAGTAAAAAGCTATTAGGCTTTTGTAAATATGCTTGAATAAACTCAGCCAAATTACAAAGTGTGGTAAACCTTAGCAATCAATTAGAATTTATCATTATCTTTCCTCAGTAAACTGAAATCACGCTGCTATGGGCTGTTTCACATTGCACTGCAACTTTTTTGCAACGGTTTACTGAATGATTATAGTGTTAGTTGTACACAAACTAAAAAAAGTACTTTACTGCATAGCTTAGTTGAATAAATTGCAAAGTATATGTATTGCCTGCAGAAAAATACCAGAAACCTTTCCTTTTACCATAATACTGTATGTGATGCAGTGTCTCGTCCATCCAGAAATGGATGGGCAGATGGAAGTCACCATCCTTTTGACCCCAGAAAAGTCAAACACAATATTTGGCAGCCCATGTAATGCTTTCAGGGTGTCTAACCTGTAGTGCTTTTGGATGGTGGTATCAGTTTGGCTAGGCCTTGCCTGGAAAGTGGTGAGGCTTACTCTTTTTTGATGGAATTGAGACATTCCATTAAACAGTACATATATGCATGCTTCACAATGTCTAAATCTATTTGAATATGATAGAGATGACCATTGAAAAAACGTTGAATGTTGATATTTTCCAGCATTAGTTTAAGTAGAATCCATTTCTCCCCTTAGTATGGTTTAGGTTTAGGATTGTAGAAAGGAACACGTGGGAAGAGTATGCAGTCAGTGCTTTAGTTGGAAGTGAATCCAGTATACACAAAAAAAAAAAAAAACTGTTGGCCACAGAGTCCATTTAAATGGCTTATCATGGGTCACATAGCTTAGAATTTTGGACATAACTTATAAGATATCTATGGATAGCTTCAGAGACTGACAGAGACTGACAGGTTATAGACCATTTGGAAATACTTTTTTGGACAATCAACTAATGTTCCCCAAATCTTGATGAAATAACAATGGTTTGTTTTTTGTTGTATGCTTGATGTCTATGACCAGCTCTAGATCTACAACAGAGAAATTGTGATAGGTCTTATCTGTCAGAATAAATGATAATGCAGCTTCAAGCATTCAGTATTAAGCCACAATTGCACAATGTGTTTTGGCTGACTGCTGGTGAAATGTGGCTTTTAGGTACACCAGGCCGAGAGATATACATGTATGGATATTCACACATGAAAATTTAGGTTTTTTTACTGGCTGTGTAAACAATTGATGCAAAAATCAGTAGTATAAGTTATGAACAACCTCAAAATCAGCTTTACTTGCTGTAAAAGGTATTGCTACATGGATATTTCTTGCTAGTGCATAATTAAACATATTTTTCCACTTAAATATGTTCTTTTTCATAATTTAATCCTAACAGGCAATTTTACTTTGAAGTTGACATATTTTTCCTTGTTTTTATCCTCGGAAATTTATTTTTTTTGTTATTCCTTGACTTCAGTTTAAATGATATATGTCCGTTTCTGAGTTTTAGTATTATCATATGCATGTTCAACTGTATATTCGGCTTAAAGAAATAAGTCTAATGTCACATGACCACCACACACAAATAGGACAGTTTTAGTGTAGAGATGTCTGCACTACTTTGTGTGTTTGTGTGTGTGGGGTTATTTTTTTTGCTGGTTGGTCTGCTACATGGTAAGGGCCTGTATCCACAGGATTTTGTTCACACTGATGGGTTTTTGATTTCCATACAAGTCTAAGCAAGCCAAATTCAGGTCAGGTCAGGAGGTCATGTAATGAATTCTGAATGATCTCAGCAGGATCTCTCATGTCAAGCTGATGCCATCAATAAAAAGACCAAAGCATGTCAACACAGGCCCTCTGTATTGAATTTGAACTGGTTATATTTAAGATTGGGTTTAGGTTAGGGTCAAGGTGAGAGTTAGTTATATGTTGGGTGAAATGTTTCAGATAATAGTAAAGGTTCATTTTTAGGGATACGAATTAGGGTAGAATGAGGTTAAAGGTTAAGTGTAAGGGTCATGTCAAGTATTAAGATGTAGATTAAAGATTGATTTAAGTGACAGAGTAAAGAAGAACTACAGCCAAAATGTTTGTTTTTTTTTCATTGTGTTTCATCGGGTAGATTTCCCATCACTTCTTGTCCCATAGCCACAACAAGAAATGAAAGGAAATCCTTCCAAAGTGAGGAACAGCACTGGTTGTCAGTGATAGCGGTCACTGGGACAGAGAGGGTGAATCTCCTCAACTAGGGCACAGAGAGGAATACAAACTTGACAGGTGTTCTATTCTCCCTAGTTGCACTTAAAGTTTTAGGGTTCAGGTTAGGGGTAGTCTATAGTTTGGATTTGGGTTTATAGGGACACTTTCTTCTACACTTGGTTTTTGTGCTGAAATTCCTAATGCGAAGAACTGGCAGGTTCTGGTTTCTTGGTGCCCAAAACCAACATATTCCACAAACGATATTCGCACATAAAAAATTGCACCATATGGTGCAGGGACTTAGTTTCTGTCCCACTGTTGGGCCCCCAGAGATCTGTAGTTTTCTTCTATCATTAACCCCATAGTGCATCGCACAGAGCAGTACACGATGCATGAGGAACCTTTCACCAGGCCCTAGCATTGTAACATGGGAACTTGATTCTGCTTATGTATATTGGCAAAAGTAATTTGTTTGACCATGTGAGTGTTCTAGAGGTGTTACCACTAAAACTAGTGGTACTTGTCTACTTCTATGTACATATGCTATTTGTTATATGTGCAGTAACAACTTCTATATATTCTATACATATATTCTATAATGTAAAAATAGCAAAGTGAAGTAATGGTTGTTTTGTTTAGGTTTAGCAGTCTGCATTAAGGGCAGGTTCACACGTTTTTTCGGACCAGATCTGGTCCAGATCTAGCTTGGAAAATGGTGTGAACCTGCCCGCAGTTCCAGTGCATTCCAGACCAGACAAAATGAGACATGCAATATTTTTCTGGTCTGGTCTAGAACGGACAGCACTGGTGTGAACAGAGTCCAGAAATAGCATAGGGATACATTAGGATGCATTTTGGGTCCGGAAACAATCTGGTCTGGTCTGGAGATGATCTGAATGTGGTGTGAATGGGCCCTCAAGCAACAAAGGTTGAGACAGATTTGTTGTTAAAGTTGCAACCTGTGTCTAGCATGGCTTTAAAGATAACTTTCTAAGCAGTTTAATAAAATGCTCTTTAAACCAAGGTTGATTCCACAAGAATATAGGTGATACAGAGCTACAGGTATGGGCTAGTGGTAACTAAGATGTAGAGTGGGCCTATACAAGCACACTATGATGAAGTGGGGTTCATATTTGCATATGAATTAGAAAAGGGCTTTATAATATGTACACTTCGCTGCAGAGGGACTAAAGGCAAGCGTCAAACGTCCTGACGAAGCCCCGGAGAGGGGCGAAACGCGTAGACGTTACACACACAATGCCTGGAGCAAAACCCTAAGAGACACATCCTCACCAAATACCGCGGATCCTAGCCGAAAACAAATCCTTTTGGAAACAATAACATACGGACCCCTTGGGAATCTAAATAAAGGCAAGCGACATA